TGAAGATAATCAAATAACATAAATTAACAATTGATGTGTGAGAAGTAAAAAAAATGTGTGATAGCACCACTCATCTAAGTAAAAGCATGCACCCTCCATACTCCAAACACTACCAATTTACTTTTTAATTCATGTAATATATAACTTAAAGGACCCACTCAACTGACCCAAATTTCCCTCACTAATTATCGAGATACCCGATCCTCCAACCAAAACACAATGGGCAAACTCATCTTCCTCCAAACACAATGCGAACTCGTCTTCCTCCACACCAGAAGTTTTTTGCTTTGCTAGGTATCTTTCTTTCACATTTCCTTATCTAAGTAATTTTGTCACACACTTTGTCTATAGTCTCTATCTGCTGGAAAGAAGAAGCTAAGGAACAGTATCACTGAGATGTTGGGTAATTTTGCAGCATTTTCGATTGTTACCTACTGAAATTTCATAAATTTTTGGCGGAACCTTCTGAAAAATTTCACAGTTCTGGGAGTATGTACTTATTGAAACTTTAAACAATTTCATGATCAGTAAATATCTAACGAAAGCCCGAAACGCAGTTTTTTTAGGTATATGTTGAAACTTTAATTAATTTCGGTATAGCTCTACTAAAGATTTATGTCAGATATTCAGATAGACAAGTTATTAGCCCACTCTTAATCGTACTGACATTTTAACAATTTAACCATCTATTACTAAGTGTTGATTGAACCATACACTTATATATTGTATTTTATTTATAATTCCCGATGTGAGACTCATTCTCAACACTTTATTCATGATGATTAGAGTCTATTTCTAGAATGGAAAGTGATATGAATTTGAGAACTTGAAGGAAAAAATCGAGTATAGCTGATCTCACGTCAAAACCTTAGGTGGTGTCGTAAAAATTAAAATTGTAATAGAAAAAATTCTGCCCAAAATAATCACAACATATTACGGTAAGTAAGGCATATATTCCATATTAAAAGAGGAGAGAGATGTCTTCAATATTGGATCGAGAGGTGTCAATCTGTTAGCATTTTAGAAAGAGAGAGACAAGCGCCAAGTGATGGTGGTTGCATGTCCGCGTGGCTTTGTTTTATAAATTCCCTTTAAAAGAGTTTGGGGATGCATATTCCAATCTTGGTGGCCCTAGTATTTTCGGTTTTGTTCTATAAAATATGTAATTTTTTTTTTCTTTTTGTGGGGGGTGGGGAGCAGAATATGTAGTTTGATAAGAAATAAATTTAAAATGGGACAAATTATTAGCACTTTAGTTAAGGAATAAGTACCTACTTAGTAAATAATTAAGCCGGATTATTCTCCATAATAGCCTGTCCATTTCTTAATACATGTAGTAGAAGGGTGGGGCAGAGGCATTTTTGAGTGGGTGAGGAAATCTGCAAATGCATGCATGAGATTTCTGTATATGTAGTAAAGACGGGAATTGCATGAACTACACGATGGAGATGGAGAGAGAGAGAGAGAGAGAGAGAGAGAGAGAGAGGAGAGTGAGAGCCACGGACTCCACCAACCCAAATTACTCAAGAAAGCTAGCAAGAGCGGCGGTGCATAGTTAATGCTTATGAGGAGCGGGTCGGGGCATATGATTCATGAAGATTTGTTTGTTGAAAGAAATTAATAAAAGAGATCGTTCCTGTATATTTTCCAATTCGGATTCATACATTATAACCATGGTTTCAATGACTTGAAATCTTAAACACACCCTCAAGACAAATGCTAAGGAGACATTTCTCCACCTGAGAAATGTTAAGAAGACTTTCTCAAAGTAGGATTTTCTATGGACTCTCTGCAACTAGTTTAACGTTAATTTTCGTGTCAACATGATAAAACATTGTATTAAAAATATAAAATGACAAAATGTTCATTGAGAATATCGTTCCACCCTCAATCCAATATGTAGATATTAATGAAAGCCCTTTGACCAATCGACCACTTTCAAACTCATAAGAATTATGCTCTTCATTGCTTTCTCAGAAGATAAACTATTTGAATTCGTAAACATAAAACTAAGGGATTCAAAAATGATAAAATTTAAAATTTGTACGAGAGACACTTGGACCAAAGTTAGGATTTTTAAATTGAAATATAGTAGTTCCTCTATTTGAATTCATAAACATAAAGACTTATAAATGTTGTGTGAGTCCGAATTACTTACCACCTAGGCACCCATATTAGGTGGCGAGAGTAAAGACTGCCATAAGATTGCACCGCATGTTGGTAGTTTAACTATGGCTAATAAATTTAATTTTTATATAGGTCAGATTCTTTTCGTGGTCTCTGTGGTGACACCCTAACTTTAAATTGACTTCTTGGGGTGGAAAAAAATTGTTAATAACGTGAGTTAAAGTACGGGGATAATGCTAGAGAGATGAATATTTAGACAAAATTTTGAAAACTAAAGACATAAAAGTTGATGATTGGTTTATTACTTAAGTGTTGATAAACTTGCTCATTCCTATTGATGACACATCATTAGTTTGCAAATTTAGTCTTCCTAGCATAAGGATCCATGAGGAGGTATGGCTCATCAAGCATGTGTGTCGGCTTCCTCCACAGCGAAACTTTTCCTAAATTAAACCTATCAAAAATCCTAACTTATGTTCTAAAGATCTAATTGTCAAACCGTTTTCGCCTACTTATGATTAATGCATCTATTAGTTCATTCGAATTTGATGTTCTCTAAGATGGTCAAGAAATATACACAGTTGTCTTATTATATAAGAGAAATTAAGTACATTGGACAACATCATTTGTTCTCTATGTTTTTTAATTGCTTTTCTTAATTTACTTCCCCATCAATTTTTCTGCTATGATCTCTCATTTGGTTTCCAATTTTCTTACAGTAGTGGCCGTTTGAACAATTTACACTTCATTCAGCTTTCACAAGGAAGATTAAATTTCTCACTTCTCTTCGATCCTTAGCACAAGCACTAAGTAAGTAAGTTACCTCTATCTTCTCATTTGAAAAGAAAATACTTCGTTTGTAGGCAGTCTACATCCTCAGGTTTACATTGTTTTTTTTTTTTTTTGGTTTTTTCCTTGCTCAGGCATTATTTTTCTTTTACTGCATATTGATAATGAATCTTCTGTATGGAAATGCCTTTTTTTTTTTTTTTTTTTTAACTTGCTAAAAATGCCTCTGTCAAAATTTTAAGGCCTTTTCTTTGTTCATCTCATCTTCCTCCTTCTCTTTGTCCAATTATCAATCAGTTTTTTGTTTTATTGCTATAAAGACATTTTCTTCGTCAGATTATATATCCCTATGTCAACTCTTTCTAATTTAAATGCACTCATTTAGTCACTCGCATTGTATCTGATAGAATAGATGGAAAAAAAAAAAAAGAAGGGAAATGCGGATTATATATGCACCTGGATTATCATAAATAAACTGTCTTAGCTTCGGTTATAAGTTCTACTATTTTGAGTTAAATTCGACAAACCAGCCACACTAACAACTCCATTTTTCAAAATTTGTAGAAACCAGCTGCCAACCCTTGCAGTGCAAAATTCAGAAGAGAAAACACCTCTACATAATGAAGATGAAGATGAGCCTGAGAACGGTGATGTAGGCAAATATTAAAGTCTTAAAACCCGCAACATCGTACGGGCATTTTTGCTTGTTCTCTAAAAGTGAAATGGAAGAGACCGTTGCAGACAGTGTTTGTGAGCATCTACTGCAAAATCCCAAATACACAAATGCGTATTCGACGATAGAACATAAAACCAGTAAATCCGACAAATCATTTCAACATCTGGCATAGCTGACTACTAGTCCAGTAGAAACTAAGAAATGTGAAGACATGCAGAGTAAGCCAACTTTGAGCCCCAGCAGAGCCCTTTCTTCCAGCCTTCCAGGAATATAAACCCAATTTATACTTGTATAAAAACACTTGCCCCTTCTTTGTAAATTTCAGTTGGAAAAGATACAGTGTAATTGCTATATTAATCACATATAAAATTAAAGAATAATTTGTGCAATTAAATAAACAATTTAATGCATAATCATAACGAAAAACAATGTCAATTGCACATGAAAATGGATTTTAAAAAATCTGAAAATTGGTCGGGGCAAATATTGAATGTTTAAGATAAGTTTACACTCCATTACGGTGCTCATGATTGGTCGGCGTTTGTCTCTTAGGTCCTTGTAATAGTAGCACTCTACGATTGTGTTGAATACTCTGTCATATGGACTCAAGAAGATACTACAACACTTTCTTAACCATAGTGAACTATATGTATGAATATGTGAATGTGGATGTACTTTCTACTTGCATATTGCTCAGGATACCCTTTTGAGCTTCTAGAATCTATTTCTTAGTTCAAGATCCCCCTTAATAACTGGAATCAAAGAATTAGTAGATATGTTCCGCCCAAAATGGAAATGAGCCAGGGTTATGAACTTATAATCTATAATCTGATAATCGAGTTGTAGGTTCGATCATTATAAGTTCATTCCATACCGGAATAAGGTTATATATATTCTAAAAGGGTATATATATCAGGTGATTTTTTTTGGGTGCCTTTGGTTGTTTATATATATATGCAGGTGTGTGGACTATACCAAAACTAACTCAAAAATATTGAAGCAAAAACAAATTAACAAATTAAAACAAAAGTGAAAACTATTCATAAAGCGGGAGCCTCAAATTATGATTCCGAATGCATGCAGCAAAACACAGTTTGAGTCCTCTTGAAAAGTTAAACATATATGTAGTTGACATAGATTACAGATTGGTATTACCAACTTAAGAAACTCCCCTAGTTAAGAACTCGAATCCTAACCATAACGTCACGGTTAAAGACCTAATGCAACCACAAACCAAATCGAACAGCGTTTCTAATCTTGAAGCATGAAAGTTCTGACAGTCTTTCTTCTCAAGAGAATATATCTTCTTCACCAATATAATCTGTTTTCAACTTTTCATCATCTGTGAGCTAATCCGTAACTTCCAAACATCGTCTCATCTATATCTGTAAAATACGAAATAACACAGGCAAATTTCAATCGAAGATCACTATGGATAAAGCAATCAACAGAGGTAAGCTAGGGAATTACGTTTCCTCATTTTATTTATAATTTCTTAACAATATATTACACCATGTTTTCTTCTCATTTAAAACCACGCCAATTCAAATGGCTCCCCATATCATTAGTGCCCTTATGCAGCAAGAACTTGCGTGAATGCCGTAGCTTTCGCACAAAGCATATGGATGTACTGTACGAGAAAATATTCAGCAAACCATGACAGCTCTCAACAGAGTTAAAGGCTGGATTTGAGTAAACTACCTACATTTATGTGCCACAGCGACTAAAGTACTACAAAGAAAGCCCATCAGGCATCAGGTAAGCCTGTGGAATGGAATCTACCAGGAGCCTAACATGCACCATCTGTAATCGTTTAATTTGAAAGGAGTGATGATCAAACTACCAGATGATGAACTACAAACTAGAGTTCCACAATGAAAAACTTTCAACTAATGCTAGGCAGATTATCTTAACCATCACCAAATTATGATTCCTAACAGTGGACGACATGTTTCAAGGCTTCATCAGGGTAAAATATGTCCAATATACCATAAGCATGACACTCCAAATAATCAATTTCTTTCCAAAGTGAAATGGAAGAGGCCTGTTCGGACAAAGTTTGTAAGTTTGTAACCAAAGACCGTGAAAAAATAAACAAATATCAATTTCAACATCTGGCAATAGCTTACTAGACTCTTAGTACTCCCTATATCTCTTCTCTATCTGCCAAGAGCCATTTTCATACTATACACTATTTGTCCACCAACGTCTGATGCAGTAACAGTAGAAAGTTCAAAATAATCAAGTAAAAGAAAACCATCTCCAGTCCCCAAATGGAAACAGCTTGACTGATCACAATAAACATCATCTTTGCCACATAACATACAATCTTGCTAAGATTCCCATCGCTCGTCCACACTCCACTGTCAAAAGCTGCCTCTTTAGCAATTAAATCATTGAGAAAATGGGCCATACTCAGTACTTACTCCTAACAGTAGTCTTCGACAAGACAGTACAACAACTACATATCCACTAATGTTAGTCACGGATGTCTTATCAGAAAAAGGAAAAAAAAATGTTAGTCACGGATGCGATTCTATTTCCCAAGAAACTAAGAAATGTGAAAACATGCAGAGTAGGTTAACTTTGACAATAGAGACAGAACACATAATCTTATTCATGTTTGGACAAAACATTTGTTGAGAAGTCATGCAATTAACAACTAGTATCAGAAGAACATAAAAACAATAAACCAAAATAGCGATGAAAAAAATAAAAAAGGTAGAACGAGAAAGAGGTTTATCACTTTATCTTAATCAACTGGACACCGTCCCTAACAACATGCAATCATGAAAACAGAGTAATCTAAATTGGATGGGAATACAGAACAATTATCTGCCACCAAATGGGAAACACAAACATAATTTCAATAATTCTGCATCTATTCAAAATAAAAATGACCTTCAAATTGCACGCAGCAAGAAAAAGCAATGCTTAACTATGTGGGAGAGATGTTACCTCTGAGCTCAAATCCATGATGGCATCCTTAAGAGAAACAACGCTTGGAATATGGACAAATGCTTCAACCATTGATGGTATTCCATCAACTTCAACCGCAGCAGAGCCCTTTTTTCCAGGAGTATAAACCCTCAGTTTATACTTGAGTGAAAACACCACTTGGCCCTTCTTTGTAAATTTCAACAATTGAGTAGCAGAAAAACTAGTTCCGTACCCAATCACTTGCTGCATGACAAGCTCCTCGGCCCACGATTCCTTAACGCCATAATCCTTCATCACCCACACATTGATATCACTCATCGAGAGAACGTATACGGAGAGGCAGCCTCTCAGGGCAGCGAGGCTAACAAGACGCTTTCCCAAAGAACAAGGCGGTAATGGCAACTCTTGGAAACACTCACTTCCAACATCAAAGGCACAAATCAATACAGAATTGTCGCTACGAGCAATCCAATGAAGAAAACCGTCATGATAAACCCCATACGATTGGTACCCAAAAGGGTACACAGAATTCCCAACATTTCTCCAACTTCCAGTGCCAACAGTCAAAACCATTACCTCCCATTCATTCGATTTCAATCCGTTACTCGTAGATGCAACCACAACTAATTTATAGACACCATCGACAGGACTAAACCCAAACCCATAAAGAAACGGAAAAGCAATATCCTTGGGAAATCTTGGAAGAGTTATGGACTCACCAATAACGGGATTGGAGATGTAAAACCGACCGCTGTTAAGCCTATCGTACACGCAGAGGAAGCCATTGCAGGAACCCACAATTTGCACACCGAAATTCGGGACATTGGGGTCTTTGGGAAGCCTGATTACGACGTCGTTCTTGCCTGAGGGTTTGTCGAGGTCGACCAAGAAGAGGCCGGCGGTGGTGGGGTTTCGGGTGCTGCTGTTTTGGAGCAAAAGGCAATCGGGTGTCTGTGAAAGTAGGTACTTTGTGAATTGGGGGTCCGAGAGCGATCGGCGCCATGACTTGCACACGCAGCGGCATTGTATCAGAGCTTTGATTGGGATTTTGCCGAAGATCTCGACCGTTATGTGGTTTGGGAGTTGGAGAATGTAGGGCTTCTTCTCGTTTCCTTCTTCCTGTTCATCTTTTTGCTTTGGCGGTTCGGCGTCGGAGTTGGTTGGCGGGCTGGTGTGCGTGGGTTTGATTTTCTTCATGGCTGGAGATGTCATGGAAACCTGAAATGCGAACGATGCCTTTTTGGTGGGAAGACTTGCACTTTATAATGCTTGGAACAATGACTGCTCTAATTCATGGACAGAGGATCTTCACCGGATCATCTTCGAGGATTCCAAGATTTTATAATATGCATGCATTATATATTATGCTGTCAGTTTTTATCAGGTATTGTTTATATTCAATTTTAAATAAAAAAAATTTACAATAATTTATAAGATGTACGATAAACGAATATGATTGGATGATTTCCAGAATCCTCACAAAAAAGATCTAATGAGAATTTATTCGTGGGGATTTCAGTTGAGGAAGTGGACAAATGTATAATTTTATTTTCACAAACAAATAAAGAATTTTATATTTTATAAATATGAACTGTATTAATGAAATTCTTTTTATCAACAAAAAGAGGGTGAAAAGATATTTTGTCTTCTATCACAAAATAAAATTAAGGACAATAAAGTAATTTTGTATTTTTTTTGTACAAGTATCACCTACATGTGATCCTAACAAATCTTTACTTTAAAATATAAAAAAAAAAACTCATCCTCCATTTCCACATTCTCTCTTTATCTCCCTCTCCCCTTCTTTTAAAAAAACAAAATAAAAGTGTGTGGGATATGCTAGTAATTTTTTTTTAAAATTAAGTGAGAATAACTATTTAATTTTAAGGTGTAATTTTAAATTGGTCATAACATTTTAAAATATTTCAAATACTGCCTAATATTTTCAAATTGGACATCGTCATCAACCCTTGATAAGTATTAAAGCAAGTTTCACTCTCACATCATCTATAGTGATCTAGATTGCTAATGGTTATGTGGTCGTTATGTATAATTAATATGTCGTTGCTATTAAAAATGATAAATTTTCTATATTCAAATATATAAAAAAAATTATCATTATTGCTATTCATTAAAAAGAGTTTTTTCACATTTTAGCCAAAATGGTCTCTAAGATTGGCATAATTTCTCACTTTGATCTCTGAGATTTGAAATTAATAAAATTAGTTCCTAATTTGTCCACCATCAATCATTTTGATCATTCCGTGAAAATTCTCTGTTAAATAAGGACTAAAATAATAAAAACAACCTCAATTAAATAAACAGTGGATCAAATTGATTTGACAAAATTTGAGCGTACTTTTTCATTTTGGTCATATTCAACGGACATTTTTCACGGAATAATCAAAACAATTGTTGGTGGACAAACTCAATAACTAATTTTATCAATTTTCAATCTCAATGACAAAATTGAAGAGTTATGCAAATCTTAGATACTATTTTAGCTAAAAAGCCTTCCTTAAATAATGTGTCAAAAAAAAAGGGAAATTATATTCATACATCCCAAATTAATTCTCCCACACCTTTTTAATTTTTTAATATTTATTTATCAAGTGTTAGTGGTGTTTAGAAAATATTAAAAAATTAAAAATGTGTGGGAGAAATAATTTATGGTGTGTGAATATAATCTCTCTAAAGATCCCTTTCCACCTAATCCACCTAGTCCAGGATCCAAACCGTTGAAATTTGATCCAACGGCTACAGTTATTATCACTTTTAAAGGGGCTCTATGTTTGTAGTCATTGGATCAAATTTTAACGGCCCAAATCCTGAATTAGGTGGATTAGGTGGAAAGATGCTAAATTTTTAAGTTCAAAACAGTGCTAAAAGCCGAAACGAAACTATCTGAACATAAAGACTATCAAGTAAAATTTGCCTAAACCTAAACTATTACTAACAAGATTCTTCTCTCTATACAAATGCCGAAGTTTGCAATGTCGAGATCTTTAACGCAACTCTTAAGGAAGCCAAACAAGAGAACCCAACTATAGCCCTAGTAAGTTGCAGGCGCCAAATAAACTGTGAGAGGTTACTCGAATTCCACCTGTAACTTATCAATCCATAACCTCCAAATCAGCCCAAATAAAGCTTCCATAAGTTATAACTCAGCAGCGAGACTCTCACCTGTCACCAAATTGGCACAAACTCAGAAATCAATTTACTATCAAAATCTTTTAAAACGATTGCCGACGGACAAACTCTGGAACCAATTTTATCAATTTTCAATCTCAAGGACAAAATTGAAGAGTTATGCGAATCTTATATACTATTTTATCTAAAAAGCCTTCCTTAAATAATGTGTGTCAAAAGCAAATAGTAGTATAAATGAATCATTTAAAAATTAAAATGCAAGTATACTAAATTTTTTGGTTGAAAATAGGGCTAAAAGTCGAAACAAAACTATCTGAACATAAGGACTATCAAGTAAAAATTGCCTGAACCTAAACTATTACTAACAAGATTCTTCTCTCTATAAAAATTTCGAAGTTTGCAATGTCGAGATCTTCAACGCAACTCTGAGAAGCAAAACAAGAGAACCCAACTATAGCCCCAGTAGGTTGCAGGCGCCAAATAAATTGTGAGAGGTTACTCAAATTCCACTTGTAACTTATCAATCTGTAACATCCAAGCCAATGATCCGCACAAATAAAGCTTCCATAAGTTATAACTCAGCAACGAGACTCTCACCTGTCGCAAAATTGGCACAAATCCAGAAAACAGTTTACTACCAGAATCTCTTAAAACACCACCTTCTCCAATAGCATTAACATTCCCCTGCATGCAGCCATCTACATTCAGCTCAATCCAACCCGTAGCAAGAGCTTCCAATCGAGCAAAGAATCAATCCTACAAAGGAAATAAAACTTAATATGCCCTAAAACTAGAAACTCTACGCATAGCTTTGACATACATTACCTTTGAGCAAGCTTGGAATACGGACACACTTATCGACCAATGATAGTAGCATAAGCCTGCAAGTGAGACCCATTTAACCACAAGACTTTCCCCTGCTCTGTAAACTTCAACACTCGGGCAGAAGTTGGAGAACCAAGTGCTTCGTTGCCAATTTCAAGCTCTTTGGTCCAAGACTCATTAATTCCATTATCCTTCATCATCTAGACATTGATATTACGAGTCGAGCAAGAGCGAACAGTTACAGAGAGGCAAGCATTCAAGACTCCAAGGGTAAACTAAATTTCTAGCAAATCCAAATAACTCGGCAGCTGCTCTTAAGTCCAAATAACAAGGAGGTAGTGGTAACCGCTGGAATGCTCTCTTTCAACGTCAAAGTCCCATATCAAAGTAGAACTATCCCCATACCGACCAACCCATTGAAGGAATCCATTTAGATAAACCCCATACGGTTGAAAACGGGAGGAAGGGTATACAGACACATCCCTAATGCTTCTCCAAATCCTGGACCCAATAGTCAAGACCAATACCTCATCTTCACTAAATTTACCACTTGGAGACATAAACACAACAACTTTGTAGACATTACTGATGGGACTAGACCCAAACCAACAATAATACGGATTATCAATTCTCCAACGATGACAATAGGCTATAGTGTGGGGCGACAAGGATATTCGTATATGCAGAGCAAACCGTTGCAAGTGTAGATGATACATGATAACGAGTTACTCCCGGACCAAAAATTTGATTGGGGATACAGCATTACATATTGCTGTTAGGTATGGTCACTTCAAAGTAATGATTCTGTTGGCCGAAGCTAATCCTAAATTGGATTGTTTTACCAACAGCGCCAACGAATCTCCATTGTTCTTAGCTACTAGCAAAGACTTCCCAAGCATTGGTCGCTAACCGTGACCCTTCAAATAGAAGGAGAGGGGAAAAAATAAGGGAGAGAATCCTACTCCATTTACAATAGGCTAATTTCGTCATATTTGTACAACGCCATTGCATTTTTCACACCAGTGCCTTTTCTACTACATATATTTGGATATGAAGCTGAAATGTGGTGTTTGAAGTATGGATCCTTCTGTGTATGAGGCGGCGAGATCAGGTGATCTTGGTTTCCTTGAAAAAATTGGAGACAATGAGCTATCAAGCGATCTTCTTCTGCAGAAAACACCTAGAAATAACAATATTCTTCACGCTAAGTTCAAACAAATCAATTTCTTCAAAAGCGCCCAGATCGACAGTCAATCTCCACAGTTTTGGGCCACTAACAACAAATGCAACACTCCCATGCACGTAGTAGGTAGAGCAGGCTGAGTTGAGGTAGTAGGGTTGCTCCTTAATCAAGTTGGAGCACGATGAGGAAAGTGCGTCAGCGAATGGCGAAGCGTATAAAGAGTGACACCGGACCAAAATTTGATAAAAGTGATATAGGATTACATGTTGCCCTCAGGTACGGTCATCTCGAAGTGGTGATTCTGTTGGTCGAAGTCAGTCCTGAATTGTGTTGTTTTACTAATAGGACTAACGAATCCCCATTGTTCTTAGCTACTAGCAAGGGCCAACGAATCCCCGTTATTCTTAGCTATTAGCAAGGGCTTTCCGGACATTGCCCACTATATGTTAGACAAGTCTTCAACATCTCATTACTTTTGGGGATTAATGGTATCACAACTTTGCATGCAGTAACTCGCAACATCAGCTGTGAAGGCAAATGATTTCTGGATACTCTTGTTGTTTTTGTTCCTAAATTTTCATTTTATATATTAAATTCAAAGCCTAGAAAAAAAAAATAGTGGTGTGCGGATATAACTTCTCTAGAAACCGTATTTCAACTAACTAAACCTCTCACTTCCTGCTATAAATTGTGCTCACTCCCTACAAATGAATTGTATGGAAACACAAAGGCCAGCAGGAAGAGAGAAGTTTTAGTTAGTTGAAATATGTTTTCCAAAGAAGTAATTTCTGATATGTTTTTCATAAAAGTGATTTCTGCAAATCGTTATTTTCTTTTCTAGCCTTCAAATTTAATATATAAAATGAAAATTTGGGAACAAAAATAACACTATATGCATAAATCATTTACCTTCGCAGCTGATTTTGCGAATTACTGCATGCAAGATTGTGACACTATTAATCCCCTGGAAGGAATAGATATTGGAGACTTGTCTAACATGTAGTGGGCAATGTCCGAAAGCCCTTGCTAGTAGCTAAGAATAACGGGGATTCATTGGCCCTTGCTAGTAGCCAAGAACAACGGAGATTCGTTAGTCCTATTAGTAAAACAACACAATACAGGACTGACTTCAACCAATAGAATCACCACTTCGAGGTGACCGTACCTGACGGCAACATGTAATCATGTATCACTTATATCAAAATTTTGGTCCGGTGTCGCTCTTTATACACTTCGCCATCCGCCAACGCACTTTCCTCATCGAGCTCCTACTTGATTAAGAAGCAACCCTACTACTTCAACTCAGCCTGCTCTAGCAGCTACGTGCATGGGAGTGTCGCATTTGTTGGTAGTGGCCCAAAACTGTGGAGATTGATAGTCAATCTGGGCGCTTTTGAAGAAATCGATTTGTTTGAACTCAGCGTGAAGAATATTGTTATTTCTAGGTGTTTTCTGCAGAAGAGGATCAATTGATAGCTCACTGTCTCCAATTTTTTCAAGGAAACCAAGCTCACCCGATCTCGCTGCCTCATACACAAAAGGATCCATGACGTCAAACACCACCTTTCAGCTTCATATCCAAATATATGTAGTAGAAAAGGCAGTGGTGTGAAAAATGCAAAGGCGTTGTACAAATATGACAAAATTAGCCTATTGTAAATGGAGTAGGATTCTCTTCCTTATTTTTTCTCCCTCCCCTTCTATTTGAAGGATTACGGTTAAGTCAAATCAACATTTTATATTAATTTTTGTATAGAAAGAGAAAACCAAAATAGAGAATGTGAGAGGAAAGAATGAAAGGAGATAGAAAGAGAGGAGAGAATCATAACCCGTTGTAAATTGCCCGTCAAAGCAAATAACATGAGTTGTTTCAGTGCAATTATATTTATATATGCCTATTTGCGGAAACAAAATGAGAAGGTGCCTGAACGGTGCTTGATTGGGCTTATTTTAATCAGGTACATATAAAAAATTTTAAGGTGTCGTTTCATAATTATTTCATTTTTAGTTTTTATATTTTTCATATTTTTTTTTTAAGATAGAAAACTAAAATCTTACTTGGTAATTAGTTTTGATTTAAAAAAAATAAAAATATAAAGGCTGAAAACCAAAAAGAGAAAACTCAAAGGTCAAATTTTGAAAAGTCAAAAATCTGTTTTTTATTCTTTTCTTCTACATTGTATCGAATCCGGATCCTCTTTGTGAGTATCCGGAGATCCTTGAATTGTGTCCGTTCATCGTACATTATACGATCAGAAATCATTTTAAATTTTTTAGTTTAAAATTGAACATAAACAGTACGATATTGACCAAAACTGACCGCATAATATACAATAAATGAATATGATTCACGAATCTTTGAAATCCTCACAAAGAGGATCCTGTTGACAATGTGCCTAAATGCCTTGGGATTAAAAAGCTCCTCGCCGAAACATACCCTTAAAGGGAACTTAGATAGGAAAGAACATATGAGCACAGTACGCTGAAAAGGGGTTGTGGATGAGGAGTTATACATCTCCATGGACCTCGAGACCTCTACCAGCCTGACATCAGAGCCAATGGCAAATGGAGTAGAGATGTGGCTTCGAATATGAGAGAATGAGCTGAACAGATTTATCTTCTCAATGCTAGGGTTTTCCACCCGTGTGGACTTACACGTGTGTCCCTTGCTGCGCATTCCTTGTGCCCCATTTGTGGACTATTCGTTCAACATAGATTGTGCGGTCAGCTTTCATTAAGTACTGTTTGTGTTTAATATTAAATAAAAATTTTAAAATAATTCATAGCCGTACGATGTATGATAAATGGATAAAACGAGAGTTCTCACAAAAAAAATCCGGATGGGATCCAAAATCCCCCATTTGTCTTTCTTTTATTTTATTTTATTTTATTCTATTTTGTGTTATTTTATTTTTTTGTTTTATTTATTCTTTTTGGAATTTGATTTATCTGTCTTCTAGTTTTCTTTTCTTTTTGTGGTTTTCTACATTGTTTTTCTTTATTTTTCACGCCTTGAGGATAAAGTCTAATTTAAATTTGAAGGTGAAGTAAATTTTTAGATTTTTTAATTTTTGAATTAGTAAACTTTTTTTTAACTTTTTAAGTTACTATTCATGAATTATTTTTACTTAAGACACTAATTCATGAGCTATACTTTGAAAAAAATTTCACATTCACACCAACATGATTTGTGGGAAGTGAGATTGGAACACGTACTTTTCGTCTAATAAAATTTTGAAGTTTTGTGCTAAGTTTTAGTTCTTGTTATAAACAAAGTAATAATTGTCTCATCCGAGACTTTGCTTAGTAACCGGATCAGTCTTACCTAATTAGTAGTAATTTTCGTGTAAAACAATGGAGCCTTATGTAACGACTGTCCCTGAATTATAGTGTTTTAAACTATTACCCACAAAATTCTTCACTCTACAGACAAGTCGAAGTTTGCAATGTCAAGATCTTGACCGCAACTCCGAGCAAGCCAAAACAAGAGAACCCAATTATTGTCCCAGTAGGTTGCAGCGCCAAATAAACCGTGAGAGCTTACTCAGACCCGTAACCTCCAGGTCAATTGTCAGCCCAAATAAAGCTCCCATAAGTTAAACTCAGCAGCGAGACTCTCACCTGTGGCCGAAGTGGCAGAAACCCATAAATCAATTTACGACCAAATCTCTTAAAACACCACCCTCTTCAATAACATTAGCATTCCCCTTCAATAAGAGGAGCTTCCCAATGGAGCAAAGAATCATTCCCAAAAGGGAAGTAGAACTTGTTTAAGTCGTATGCCCCAAAAAATAGAAAACTATGCACGTACTAACCCGAAAATTAAGCATTCTAGCCTTCAATAATGGTTCATGCAATAAGGAAAACTAAGTTTAGAAACAGCAGCAAATCAAACAAGGATTGAATTCAAAACCAATTACCTAGTGACAACAAATCGTCACATAAGCTAAAACTGTCAGTAATATAAAGAGCGATTCCAAGCCAACAAAGCTCTCCGCTTTGAGAGAGTAGGAGGACTAAATTGGCAAAAGTAAATATAAGTATATAAGAAAATTTCAAATAGCAAGAAAAAACAATTTATCACATTAGCTTTGACATATATTACCTTTGAGCTCTAGCCTGACATGATATCTCTAAGCCGAACAAAGCTTGGAATATGAACACACTCATCGATCAATGATGGTATCCCATCAACCTCAACCATCACCACGCCCCTTGTTCCAGGAGTATAAGCCTGCAAGTGAGACCCATTTAACAACAAGACTTTACCCTCCCCTGTAAACTTCAACACTCGAGCAAAAGTTGGACAATCAAGTGCTTCGTTGCTAATTTCAAGCTCTTTGGTCCACGACTCGCTAATGCCATAATCCTTCATCATCCAGACATTGATATTACGTGTTGAGCAAGAGCGAACAGTTACAGAGAGGCAACCATTCAAGACTCCAAGGGTAAATTGAGTTTCTAGCAAATCCAAACAACTCGGCAGCTGGTCTAAGTCCAAATAACAGGGAGGAAGTGGTAACTGTTGGAAATGCTCCCTTTCGACGTCAAAGGCCCATATGAAAGTCGAACTATCCCCATACCGACCAACCCAATGCAGGAATCCATTAAGATAAACCCCATATGGTTGAAACCGAGAGGAAGGGTACACAGACACATCCCAATGCTTCTCCAAATCCTGGAGCCAATAGTCAAAACCAATACTTCATCTTCACTAGATTTATCACTCGGAGACATAAACACAACAACTTTGTAGACATTACTGATGGGACTAAACCCAAACCCACAATAATACGGATTATCAATTCTCCGGCGCTGACAATAGGCGACAGTATGGGGAGACAAGGATATCACTGGAAGCGCTAAAGACTCACTAGTAATGGGATTGGAAATGTAAAAATGGCGTTGGTTCAATTCATATATGCAGAGCAAACCATTGCGAGAACCCAAAATGCCCACACGAAGAGCGTGGAAATTTGGATCTCTAGCAAGCTTCAGTACAAAGTCATTTGGGTTTGAGACCATATCAAGGTCGAACAATAAGTATCCCTCCGACTTGGGGTTTATGGGGCCGCCTCTTAAGCCATGGAACAAAAATGAAGGGGGTGTTTGTGAAAATAGGTGTTTGGTAAACTGAGGGTCTGAGAGCGAATGCCGCCAAGACTTGCACACACACTGGCATTGGATGAGGGTTTTAATTGGGACTTTGCAGAATATCTGCACTGTTATGTGGTCTGGCAATTGCAGAATGCAGGGTTTCTTATCATCCTCTTCTATGTCAGTGTTGGTTGGTTCGGTTTTCTTTGTGTGCGCATCCATGTCGAATCGCTGCAAAAAACTCACACCAGATTCTCAAATCAAGATTCATCTATAGTAAAGTTGAGCATGTATGTGCCAAATGCATAACATGATGGGACTAGAAATGGAGGTCGGATTACCAACAAATTAAACAATCCCACGATAAGGATTGGATTAAACGCTCAAACTTTTCAGAAGAAATCCAATCTCTACATTTACGAAACGGAAAAAACCCGAATCCTTGAAAACAAATCCACAAATCCAAACCCTTCATTCTTATTAGAAAATAGCTGCTGAAAAATATACAGAATAAGACTAAACCTGAAAAATAAAAATTAAATAAAGAAAGAAACCAGAAGAACTGAAAGTACCTGTTGATGCAGCTGAGCAGCTCTTGTTTCGTTTCTCTTCTTTCTGCTTGAATGAAAGTTCGTGAAGCTTTTTCTACAGAGTCGGAAGGGTTTACAGCTTTATAGTCATTTATTAGAAGTTGGCGTCATTGTGGTTAAAAAATGTTTTAAGCTGATAATATCTGCACAATTATTTTTATATTTTATATACTACTGAAATTTTGATCGTCAGATTAAATAAATTAAAGAAAATCAATAAAAAAAATTTAACTAGTGTATGAGAGTTAAAAAAAGGTTGTGTGAATTTGAACCACTTAGTACCACGATCTAGTAATATTCCTCTTCACTTATAAGTGAGAGATATTATATTCGATTCTCGACAAATACGAATTTAAACCACATTATTACTGATGCTAAGCACACCCCCTCCTCTTTAATATAAATAATATCATTTGTTCCAAAAATAAAAGTGTTACGTGAATAACACTACTTAAAAAAAAAAAAAAATTCAGTTGTTAATTGTGAGTCGTGACATTAAAAATCAAAAATGATTTTTGCAATTTTTTTTTTCTTTCTTCGTTATTTTTTTGTTGTTTTTTATTCATTGGATTACTAAATCAAAACAGAATTAAGATATAGAAACCAAGGGAGGAGTGGAAGAAAAGGAATATGAAAAATCATTTCCCATGAATATTAGAGTATGATTGTTTTTCTTGTTTTGCTTTCAGTAGAAAATGTTTTTGTGGTTTTGCTTCCGGTAGAAAAATTATATTACAATTTTACTGTAACACGATAAATAAACTGTCTTAGTTTGAGTTCGTTCGAACTTACACGTAGAGGAGAGAGCACACTGCTTGAGCTAACGGCCGCGCCTAAAACTACATATAGAGCTTGTACTTGCTTCAAAGAGAAAGCGTGTTTTTGCATGAAACGCAGCCAATCGTAGATACAAAACGAGGTTAGAAAGATCAAAGGCAAGCGTGCATTTACAAGAGACAGACCGTATTTTCATCACTGCCTTCAACTTGGCTTCACCATCAAGAGATACATAAACATATTCTGGTTGAAAGCAAAGAGATACATATACACATAATTCACTCAACTGCACTGAACTACAATCTTTCAACATCCTGAGGGAAACCTTGCTAGTGTAATCTATCTTCTTCTCTGACCCAAATCCGATCTTCGACAGGCACAGGAACGAACCTCATTTGCCTAAGTTGGTGATGCAGAAAGTAGGAAATCCGGTTGTAGTCTTTGTAGCAGTATACCACAAAAGGGACAGAGTGGTTTTAAGGATAGTTCTAGCAAAGGCGATGCGGCCAAAGATTTGAAATTCAAAGGAAGACCGGGGGTTGCAAACAGAGTCGCTGGTGCCGATTTGGAAGCACGTCTATGACAGCATGTGCAAAACCATGTCGGAGTAGTAGGACAAATCTCCATAGAAATGGAACACCTAACTAGTTTGTGGCCCTTTCCGCTGCAGAAGGCAACTTCTGGAGATTCAAATGGAACTGATGCTAAACAATAGCTGCACATCTCTGCTGCTATGCATTTACTGGATCCAAATCTGTTGTTTGAAGAAGAATACGGAGCAATACTTAGTATTTTTACAGACAGTTGCATTGCCAATTACGAAAGCAGGAAAACATCCGAGGACAAAAGAGATGAATACAGTAAAACAAATGATTGCATCAAGAGCATACATGTTGAAACAACAAAAATCTACCTAACAATTTTGTTTTGAATGTATGCATCTCTCAGATTATTCAATATCGGACACAGTATTACGGTAGATAAACCTTTGTGTTTCTTCATCCAAAGTATGGAACTGGTGTCTAAATAAGCATTATTTTTAACTCCCTCTAATAATCATTTTAACCACATTCATTTGAGCCTGCTTAAAACTCCCCGTATGCCATTTGTACCTGCCTTCTAAGTACTATACAACTAATTTGAAAGGATCACACAGGTTACTCAAACTGAAATGGAGTTTTAAGTTGTACAGAGAACTCTCCCCGTAGGAAGCCTCATACTTTTGGAACCTTTTCACTGGTTGCTTCAATTCTATTATAATGTGTTTAACTATCTAATCAACTTACTATTCCCGTCATCTGAAAGCCAACCACCGCCCAAACATCTAACGACCTTAACCACTAACTGCCCTCTAACCCATTTACCAGCTGTGCTGGCACATCATAACCAGAAAAGGCAAAAAAATACCCCAAAATATTGAATTTCAAATTTCCAACATTCAAATTCAACAGCCAGAGACACTTTAAAGCTTTAAGATACATGGAAAAATTTAACATTTCATGAAATATTTAGTTTTTTTAACAATCAGATAAGGGAGTGCTTTTTTTATTTATTTATAAATTTGATGGTCCCCACTCCGAAAGCCTCAGAGAAGTCATGAAGTTATTTACGATGATATAAGAAGTCAAAATGCCAAGACACGGAAAAGTATGGCCCTCGTGATTAAAGTAACAAGAATAAACAATCATATCAATAGAGGGTAGACAGATTCTTATGACAAAGGATAAAAGTCAGGGAGTACCTCCTATCCCGCTTTCCAACTTCGGATGCGAGGACCTTTAGTTGACTGTGCACATGATCATGATTAAGCTCAATCCACTGCTCCATTTGTGCTAATCCAACAGGAAACCAGTTTCTAGATGGAGAATCTGGGGCTGAAGCAGGCATTTGACTTAAAAGAGCAGAAAATGTAAATCCCACAAGCCTTTCCCGGAGTTCTTTCTCACTGTTCAAAAGCAGATTGATCCACAAAGACCGCTTCTCTTTTTCAGCACCATGAACTCCTTTCAAATTCAGTAATTTACTGTTTATTTCATCAGCCTTCATCTCTGATAGAATCACACGCCTGCAGATTATATTGAGAAGGTGTAATTGGCGAGAAGTGACTTTTGAGCAACTTCGGGAGACATTCAACAAAACCGTTTCAGCAGAAATTCCCACATGAGATCCCAGGTATGAAATAGAGAGCCATTTAATCAGTACTTGTTCTACAAACTCTGGTTTAGAATGATTAAAAGCCAACAATGCTGTTACAATATCCCAAACAACCAGATGTTTATCTTGCATTTCATACTGCTTTAAGGACCATTGAAAGTTGGACTCCCAATAAACTAACTCCTCAGAAAAACCAGGAATCGCTTCAGTATCAAAATGTACGGAATTGTTTGAGAAGACATCTACTTGCTGACCACCCGTCCAGAAAAATTCAACAATGGCCTTTTGAGTCCTGAGAGTGTTCCCAAAAATGTAAATTGATCAAGAATTAGTAAACAACAGCCAATATTGCAACTCAACATTAGGTTGCTTGTTCATTTCTATAGAATACATAAATTCTCTTACGTGCTCTTCTGCTCCTGTAATATCGTTATGACTTAGGACGGTTGAAGTGGAATTTTTTATCGAATCAATACTACAATTTGATTAATATGCAAATAAGAAAAACTCACAATTTTATCTTTTCTTTCCTCCATTTCTTTTTCCGAGGAAGCTAAAGGGTTCTATTTTTATGAATCCTTTGCCCCTCCATTTATGACAATGTTTTTTGTTGAGCTGCAACGGTGTTGTCCTTTTTTCTTTTGATATCCTTTCATTCCATCTTTAGGATTCATTCACTTTATAATAGTATATAATGTTTAGCCACTCTCAAATTTACCCAAACCGCAAAAGATGGATCTAATAGAGGAATGTAATTAGCATAAAAAATATCTCACCTTGCCTCGTACATTGGGTTTAATTGTTCAACATCAGTATTTCGAACCTGCCATTTTCAAGTATAGGTATCTTAGTTTATTTTCACTTTTATGGTATGCCAGAATATGTTTGTATTGGCGCAAAGAAAATATCATACCCAAGCAATCACAAGATTTCCAGGGGACACTGCCAGACCAAAGCAAGAAACAAATTCTTCTGGTAACTGCATCAAATTTTAGACTGACGTTATGGTGGAATACAAAAAATTAAACAAGCATACTTATAGGGTAAGAACTTACATCAGTTGAGTTTCTCAGACGAGGAGTATTTGAAGGAATAGGTACTTCACAGAGAGAACTTCCACTCAAAATCCAACAGCGTATAACATTATCCTAGTATCATTGTAAAAGAATGGTTGCCAACTGAATAATGTAGATATAAAATATTCCACAGAAAGTTTACATACCTGGCTGCAGCTATACAAAGATTGCCCATCAAACGCCCAAGCTAAACCTGTAACCTGGTCGGTTCCCAGAAGCATAAATAGCCAGTGGTATGCAATATAAGATTTTGACAAATAAAAAGACACTTACCGTCTGGCCATGTGCAACATATGTGCCAATCTTGTCAAATTTTTGGCTAGACATGTTGCATATCCACAATTCAAAAGAGCCAGATCCTTTTCCAACTGCTAAGTGAATTTTGTCTGGAGACTTAATAGGCACAATGACTGAAAGTACAAAAACTGGGGCAGCATTGCTTGCAACCTATTTAAAAGTTCAAAATAAAAGCATGCTCAACAATACAATAGAATAACGCGAAGAGCTCTGTATACAACAAGACAGAAAAAGTAAGAACTACCTCTTTCATTAGGGAAAAGGAAGTGTCGCTAGGTTCTGATGACTTCAGCAACTTTTCATTATTCCCCAGCCAGATCCTCACACTGGAAAGATAAGGAGGCACAAAATGAATCCAAGAAATCATAGATAAAACTAACAAAAGACAAAACAAGAAGACAACAATCGAATCTTGAACAGATAATAAAGAAATTTTTGGGTAATTAGATAGCAGATTAATCAGAGTCACAACTCTCTTAAACGAGTCAAGTGGTAGGACTACTGCTAGTACGTTGAAACAAGATACCAACTTGACAACTAAACTGACACTAAAATGCAAGAAGCATTTTGCTTAACACCATTTAAAGCACCTTGCTTCTACACTGCAAAAACTATTGTCTAACTAGACAAGAAAATTTCATACAAGAGCTATAGGAGTGAAATTCATTATGATTTCCAGCATACCTAACTCACCTCCCATCAGTACTCGCTGTAGCCAACAAAACTTTAGGATTTGAAGAATCAGAATCAAGCAACGCCCAACCAATAGCTGTGATCCATGAATTGTGTGCCTGAAGAATCCCTATGAGCGCCACAGTTGCCGGGACCCTGCTTTGATCAACAGAGTAGCATTCTGGTACAGGAATTCTCCATACAGAAACTTTCCCGGACTTCGCTCCAACTGCAAGTAACGACATGGACGAACCATCTTGAGGAACTGAACAGATTTTGGATGGTGAATGCAGCATTGGCGACCAGGCAACTACAAGTGATGTTAGCATTGCAGTGCGAGAAGCATATTGATCCGCAGTTATAAGAGGGAGTGTGCTGTTTACTGGTATCTCCTTGGCAGGTTTTACCTTCGATTTTGAAGCACGAACAATCTTATTTGAACTCTTTTGTTTCGATGGGTCATAGTCAATCTCAGGCTCTATTTCATGCTCCTAATACGAGTACAGTCAAAAAGACCATTGGTCAGTGCTCAGGGCATAAATCTATAGGACTGCACCAGACAGATGAGAGGACTTACATTTACATCTTGCTGTTTTGATGAAGAAGCCCGTACCTCCCCAAAATTTATACTCACAAGATAATCATAAAGCTTGGCCGATACATTCGCAACCTGAGCAATACACATAACCAATTCAGAACCATAAAAGACTGCAACTTTATAACAACAACCAGTTTAAACTGCAGATACACATATACCTCTATCCATTCAGCACAAAAATCGCAATATGGAGAGCGATAAAGCTTGACGAATCCTTGGGTGGTGCAGACAGCCAGCAAGCAGCCAGCGTTTGGAGCAAGCCCAACTGGGGACCAAGAAATCGATCGAACACAGGGTTCTTGGTCCCGTGATAAAATGGTAGGCAGCATGCAATTAGAGAATAAATCTGAAAACCCATCAACAAAACAAAGAATGAAAACGGAAACACACATTGTATAAACCGAAAAGATCGAAAATTTTGGTGTATACAATGTACCTTGTCTATCTATGACACCAATCGGAAAAGGTTGGCTGTTTTTTATGGTGATTAGGCCTCTTGGTCCAAAAGGCAGAGCAGCCGGATTCTGCAACACAAAAAGATATACACTTAACCAAACACAAACAAAAACACTTGACTAAACAAAAACATTATGAAACATGAATCAGAGTTTCTGTTTTGAAATTACGAAAAACGAAGTTAGAGTGAAAAGATTGATGAATGGAGAGTACCAGAATGGTGACGAGGTGGCCGGAAGCGACAGCGATGAGGTTCTCATCGGACCAAGCGATGGCGTCGGGGAAGGATGGAGCGCCGACGAGCACGGTGGCCTGGAAACGGGAGTCGGCGTTTTGGGTTTGGATTTGGGAATTGGAGGGAAAGAAAGACATGGCCGTTGGGATCCGATTTCAATGTCGGGTGACTTCAGGTCAGTTCAGTTCAGCAGATGACAGAACCCTAGTTCGAGTCTCGATGGAAACTATAACTGAGAATTAAAGCACTGCATTTATTAAAACACTTATTTATAATTTTTTTTGTGGTCTACTTTTATTGACACCTCACATTTATTAAAACACCGCATAATTAATATTTTAAATAAAAAGTAAAAACTTTTGAAATATTATATGAACTTATATGCATTTGTTAGTTTTTCGTATGAATTAATATTTTAAACGATTTGTCATATAAATTATCTAAAATCATAATTTGTCATATCATCTTAACTTCGTTAAGTTTTTCATCTAAAATAAGCTTGTATTCAAAGTTATTTCAAACTGTTCATCTCCTTTTCACAATTTTTTTTATTTTTTTAATTTTATACAAAATATATGTACACTAGGAGTGGGGGGAGTGGGGAACTAAAATGATTTTGAACTTTTGACTTTTTCACAAGTTCTCTACTTCTTTTTGATGCACTAATAAAATGTACATTAGGCTCATTAACATGAAATTTAACTAATTACAAACTTTGAGGATTCAATTTGGTCAATCATGTCCATTTATTAAAATGAGAGTTGAAATGTTCGAAATAGCCTTGAAATGTCCAAAATAATCTTGAAGCGAATCGAGTGGGAAGTTGAAATATCCAAAATAACCTTGAAAACATGTCATGTGTGTTGGGTTTCTAGGTACATTTTTGGAATAAATTTAATTTGAATAACTAAATACGCAATGGAAATTATAATAACATACAATATGTCACTCATGATCGCTTGTAAGACCATAGTAAGCCAGATTGGAATACAAATACCTTAAAAGTCTGGCCATGAACTCAACAACCTTGGATGCGAAGTTGACTAAACGGAGCAGTGATGTCACCATCATCATGCTCCAGGATCAATGGGCGAAGTCCACGACTTCACTGAGATCGACCATACTTGTTCTGCAAGATTCAAGAACCTAATCTAGTAAGAATTTGTTGGTTTTCAATAATCTTGGAGTCCTTAAAATCTACAGGATTGGCATGCGTTGCAATAATTACACTTTTAAGAGGATGCAATATCCAATTCCTAAGTATCTTCTAGGATTCTTCCAGTTTAAATAAGGATTCTACTAGCCTAAAAGGTCATCTCCTCGACTGGTATTAATACATCATTCGAGTGTTCATCTCTAGCAACACAATCTCTGCACATTTATTCTCTTACCCACTCTAAAATCTTAATATTGCTTACGAACTTGACCATCGGAAAGTCTTTGACCAGAACATCCCCCGATCATTGGCTTACTCACGGTTGTGTGCTGTTTTATAGGAAAACAAGTTTGATCATCTCCACCTCTGGTGGCGGTGTGCAAATTTGGTTTCCACAATTGGCGCTTTCATTGAGAGTGAACTCATATTCCTCCTCACCCAATCACTCTACCACAAGCATGAACTCATAAGAACGCTCCGTCAAGGCTAACATTAAGTGGACATCTGACGATAGTTTGGCCCTAGACGTCTCCATCGCACAAGTTGAGGATAACCTTGTCCTCGACACCACCACTACTCCAGACTAGGACTGGGTTCGGTTCAAATCGATTCAGTTTTTTGCCAAAACCGAAATCGAACCGAATTTCAGTTCGGTTTCGGTTTTTTTTTTTTTTTTTTCAAAAAAAAAAATTTGAAATATGAAATTTTAAATAAATTGAGACAGAAGATTCACAATGCGATGGTGCTTATACATTCATCAGATGCAGAAAGGACAGAACATAATATCAAGGTCAGTGGCAAGTTAAAGGACAGATTAGTTTAGAGTTAATGTAACCTCCTTATTATGAGAGTTGTCATATCTTGCTTCCCTCTTTAGTCCAACTGAAAGCTAAAAAGCATCACAGAGAAAAGTTTTCATTTTTCTATTTTTTAGAAGAGTAATGCTAGAAAGACTAAATGTATAGACAAATTTGTAAACTAAATGATGTGTCACCAATAGGAATGAGCACGTTTATCAACGCTCAAGTCACAATCTAATCATCAACTTCATGTCATTTAGTTTACAAAATTTTGTTTACAAATTTAGTCTCCTTAGCATTACCTATTTTAAAAACCAGAAACTACAATTGTCAAGGAAACTAGAAATCCTACATTTTCAAAAACCAAATTAAAGAAAAAACAATAATCCAACAAACTCGATTAATTGTAATAGAAAAATAGGATTAGATAGCGTTAATTTTCCCAAACCGAGTTGGATTACCTAGTTTCTTGGGAAGCAAGGTTGGCTTGGGAGAATTTTATTTGGGCAGGAGAGCTAGGGTTCTATTTCTCACTCTAAGCTACGTCATCTGCTCCCTCTACTCGTCCGCAGTGCGCTTTCCTTCTTCGTTCTCTCTTTAACTTTTTGTCACCAACCATGAAATACTCTGGTAAAACTAGAAAGTGGCTTGACGAAATCCTCTCATCTGATCACTACAAACCTGCAGCAGAAACCACTCGTAATCTGAATGCTTCCAAGAAGGCTGCTAACGATTCCTCTTCTTCCTGTTCGACGAAAGTACCGGTCTCCAAACCCGAACCCCAGAAGGTAGCTTCTTTGAATAATTCAAAGAAACGCTCCGCTCCTCCACTGGCCGACAATCGCGAGAGAGTCGAGATTATGGACCAGGAAACGAATGGGGAAAAGAAGCACAAGAGGCTGCCTACTCCTCTTCCTGTGACTTGTGACATTTCATCAGATAAATCGGGTGGCTACTTAAGCCGTGAGTCACCGGTGACAGTGCTACCTCCTCTTCCTCTTTGTGACCATCATGAGCATGGCACCACAACACCTGAGGCGGGTCGGGTGGCCATGTTGAAATCTCGGTTCGCAGTTACCATTCTTAAAGCACAACGCCCTGAAACCCCCTCGCTCGTGATTGACAAATATAGAGCCGCCGAACTTGCCAGGGCCAATGGATTGATAAAGAAGAATCGCCAAAGAGACAGAGAAGCCGCACGGCTAGCCCTCATTGAGATGGAAAAGAATGTCGACATCGACGATCCTTTCAAAACCATGAGAGAATTTGAGATGATAATTTCCAATAAGGGCACTTGTTAGATCGCTAGCCTAGTGAGTTTTGGAGCAATGTAGTGTACTGATTCAACATGTACGTGTATAGTATTGATGTTCTAAGGAATTCATATAGGTTGCAATTCTCAAATGTATTGTGAAAAAAAAAAAAAAAAAACGAATGAGAAAACAAAGTAAATGCTCAGTAACCCAGCATCATATCACGAACCGGTGTATAAAATCCGCAGATTGTCAAGAAAAAATTCCAAATTGCAAGAGTTCTTTTGATCCCTCACTACGATCGAAATTATTTATGGTGCACAAAGAATGCTATGTAGTATTCTGTACGCTGCGAGGTGCCCAAGTGGTCAAAGCCCCTACCAGAAATAACAAGCCGTGAGTTATTCACGGTGTGTACGTAACACACGCCATAAAAACTACCAGCAACGCAATGGCCTGGCCAAACATTGTTCATGGCGCAAGTTCTTATGAATCCGTGTTTAAACTTTCGTGATTAAATTTTTTCGGTTTTTGTTTCAGTATTTATATGTAATCCGAGTTCAGGCTTCAGTATCTAGGATAACATGATTTTCTCATCAAGTAGAATTTATGCCCTGCAACACTACTCAAACACCAGATGAACGAACAAGCCTGAGAATCGACGAAAAGAACGAAGATTCTACTTCCCGATATGCGACATCAACAAGCTACAGAATAAAACCGGCTCGGATGGCCAGGAGAACAAACAATTTCAAGTTGCTGGTAAGGCCAGTGAATTACAGTTGGGTACATAACTACAAGCACAAAATCTAAACCCTACTAGATTAAACTCTTCATAAGTAATTTTGTATCTTCATAAGTAATTTGTATTTGACTAATGTTCTTGCCAAAGGTGCCACGTAATACGAGCTCTTTGCAGTATGCCTATTGCTTGTTGGGATCGGTAGAGATGTCAAATCCAGGAGGGATGAAGACGACGTCATCCCACGTTGATGTAGAACCCTCCTGCAATATTTCGTTATTACTTTTGCTTTCTAATTGCCCACAATATAGGAGGAAAACAATTCAAAACTTTTGAGAAATTAGCGAAACATTTGTGTAATTTTGTAGCTCAATCCTGGTCGTTGATTTATTAACAACAATTAATAACGTAATAAGAAGGAAAAAAATGCCTACCTTCATCCCCTTTATGACTTCCTCAAGAACAGCAACCTACAACACAAAATAGAATAAGTAAACAGAAAGATAAGTTCTGCTACACCGTCAATAGGTCCTGAAACCCATACCTGAACATCCCCTGGTCTGAAGGCAGGATTTAATTGATTCTGATCACGAGAAGCCCTTGATAATGAATTTTCCAAATCCTCCTAAAAGATTTCTAAGAATAGGTAAAACCGCAAATGCATGCCAAAACAAGCTAGATAATGCAAGCAAGGGTATTGTTTAACTGACCTTCCTGAAAAATACTGGACGATAGCTCTTGCTTTGGCTTTTCAGAACCAAGCTCCTTGACTAATCAAATGTTTAAACAGGTTAAAAATTAGCATGGGAAATTCATGGAAGAAGTTTGCGATGAAGACAATTGTCAAAACATATCAGAAAACCATACAAAATTCTAGTAAGCCAGTCTGGGAGCAGAAATGACTTGAGGAAATGCTAGTTGCTAAAAGAATAAGATTACATCACAGTTTGGGTCCAAAAAGTTTGGCCTAGCCACTCTCAAGACGGAATTGTACCGTCCACAATAGATCAGTTTCCAACCAAAGGTTATTATCAGTTTAAAACAAGTCGACCTATATAGCGCAAGGAGCGAGAATTTATGGCATAATTCATGAGAAGTAGCAGGTGAGAATGGGCAAGGACATCAGTTTGACAGATTTTTTCACATATCAAGCAGTAAAATGGAAGTTCATATGACTTTTTAAAAGGAAAAAACTTGGATCATTTATCACAAGATTAATCTCAGAACCGGTTATAACTCATAAAGATCCATGTTAATTTGAATTTAGATGC